ATGATGACCAAAAAGAAAAAAGCCAGAAAAACAGCCAACATTTCAATCTGTCAATTTTTTGATATCATTTTTTTTTTTTTTTTTTTTTTTGTTATTCTTTGAATTCGATGTTTTCTTTCTTTCACTTTTAGATGCTACTACCTTATTATCCAACGATATACTTGGCTTTGGTCTATGCTACTACTTTTCGAATGATGATTTTTTTCTGGTGGTAGGGATTACTGCTACATTATTACACACACACACACAGACAGCAGAGAGAAACTATTTTTCCCATGAATCGAATGATGTTAAAATAGATTTTTTTTTCTTTTCGAGATTCGAAAATCGTCTGTTTGAACGTTCGATTTTTTGGAAATTTTTTTTTCTTCAAAAATTGATTTTTTTTTGTAAACGTGTTTTGTACGTAAGTAATTCGTTTTTTTTTTTTTGTTTTTGTTTTAAATTTTTTTATTTCAATTTTTAACATGATTTTTTCGTATTTATTTCGTTTGTTTATTCGTCAATTATTAAGCAGATTAAAGAGCAAATGCACTATTGACATGTGAATTAAAATTCATAATATCATTATTAATATTGTGTTGCTGAGATTGTAATGTTGTTGTTGGTGGTGATGGTGCCGGTGATAAATTTCTTGTCGAATGATTATTACTATTATTGATTTCATTAATCGATTTACCAATGGAAATTATTGGCGGTTTTGATTGATTATCAATTGTTGAATTAATTTTTAAATTTTCAGTCCAAAATGATGTGTCGGAATTCGGATAACGTGGTAATAATAATGCAATTGCTAATGACATTGAAATATGCCAAAGTGAATGTGTAATACCATATAAACGACGAAAATAGAATAATGTTTGTGATGCAAACATTATAGCACCGAATGATAATAAACCAATAGCAATATAAAAATTATTTGAATAAATTAATTCCGGTATTGTATGTTCACGATAATAACGATATCCCTTTATAAGAATAATACAGAAAAATTTGATTGATTGGTATTGAAAATCGATATTTAAAACTAAAAAAAAAACACATACCCAAAATGAAGCAACCAATAAAAGTGTTGAAATAGCCGGCACAACAAAACTCCATGTTCCGGACATATAAAAATGTAATAATGTACCGAAAATTATTGAACCAATCAAATGAAATGATGAAATCCATTTATATGGTACATTCGATATTATGATTGCCGTACACCAAAGCGTTAATGTTGCCGTAAAAAAATCACCATATTGTAATAAATCAAATGAAAATATACAATAATGAAGACAATTACAATCACAAAGATGATATAGCTGTGAAATCAAGAAACAAAAATTATCAACTGTTGTTCGTTTGTTTTTTTCATTTACTTACCGCTGAAAATGTCATTGTAAAACAATATACAATAGATTCGGCATAAAATTTTCCTTTAATTGCAATATAAATTGCTGGCAATAATGCTAAATTACTGAATATAAGAAGAATACCATCCATTATTGTACAGAAATCGGATTTGGATTTTGATTCATTCAATGATTTTGCTATTAGAATCGTTGTTGTAATATTTGTTGTTTTAGAAACTAATGCCGATTTATTCAAAGATAAACGTGTCATTGTAGTTGTCGGCATTGTTGTTGATGTCGTGGTCGTTGTCGTTGATGGTGAGGTTAAAATATCTAGCATTGATACCGGTGTAGTATCATTTGGTTCATCATCAATAATCATACAGACAACATTATTATCGACAATAATCATCGATGAAATCAATAAAACTAATCGAAAAGAATCGAAAGAATAAAGTAAACAATCAAATCAAATCAATCAAACAAACCTAATAAAGGTATTCTTGATTTTAACAACATTTTTTCTCTCTCTCGGATGATGATAATGATGATGATTTTAATTTCAGATTTAGATTCTCAACAACAGCAACAACAACAACGATAATAAAATGCAAACTAAAATTGATAAAACTTTATTGTCGATGGTTTTTATTACTTGTCCGAAGAATTGTTTAGTTTGTTTTTTTATGCTATCGTAATTGAATGATTTGCAGAAAAACCAACAAGCCAGCCGAAAATATTCGAATTAATCTCATTTTGGATTCGATTCGTTTGTTGCTATGGTTTTTTTTGGCCGTATAATTACAACGAAAAACAAACAAAAACAAAAATTCTGTTCCAATTCAAATGAGGTCATTTTTATTCACCCAGAAAATCTCAAATGGAATTATTCGAAATTTAGATCATCATCATCATCATAAACTTGACATGATTTTAATGGGAAAAAAATTACAAATTTTTATTTAAATGAATTTTTTCACAAAAAAAAAAAATTTAAAAAGACAAGATTCGAGAAGGAAGAAAATTAAAAGAATAAAGATTATGATTTCTGTGATGCCCAAAATCACCTTAAAAACTTTTTTTTTTTTTTGGTTTATTTAGTTTCCGTCGTTTAATAGATGAAAATATATATTTACTCAACGACATCGAAATGGTATCCATGTAAATTTACAAGAAAAATTTGGTCGATTTCTACTACCATTATTATCAATACCGATTACAATATTTGTTTGAAAAAAATGTCATGGACAATCAAACAAAAAACAAATTTACTACAAATTTTTTATATTTTATAATTAGGTTTTTTCTTTCTTGGCCTCAATGAATATGATTCATTTAATAATGATGTATCATTCATGAATCTACTTCTAGTCATATATGTTGAAAAAAATGTTGAATTATATTGGCTTGTATTATTATTATTTGCTGTTGTTATCGATAGATTGTTGTTTTTATTATTATTATTGCCCGTCTTATTCATCATTGTATTTGGTTTTTTAGATAATTTTTGTTCATTTTGAGAATTTAAAATTTTCTTTTTTGATTGATATCTTTCCATTATGCTAAATGAGCTGTTGTTATTATTATTTTTCGATGATAAAGAATTTTGTTCATTCAATGAACTAATATTTGCTATAATTGTTTTATCATTTGAATTTGAAAACATTGTTGGATTTGATGATGATGATGATGATAATACGGTATTGTTGTTGATACTAATTCGTGAAATTGAATCAAAATTTCTATTAATATTTCGATTAATCATTGGTGTTGATGCAGTTAATGGATAATTTTCCATTAAATCACCATTTTTATTTGTTATAAAATCATTAAAATTTGGTCTTATTGTTGATAATGGTCGACGAAATGATAATGGACTTAATAATATGGAAGAATCGGATAAACTTTCTCTTTTTTCTTCTTCTTCTTCTTCTTTATCATTTTGATTTTCAATAGATTTTTGTTCAATAATTGTCTGATCATTAGCGATAAATGTTAAATTTGGTTCATTATCCTCATCATCACCAGAATTGATTGATTGTTTATTATCGATAATTATAGTTGATTCATTATCAATCACTTTTGAATCGTTTACTGTTGAACAATTATTTCCATCATTATTTGATTCAACATTTTGGCAAACATCTTCATCACATAATAATTGATCATCATCATCATTATTGATCGTAAAATCATATTCATTCGATTGTGAACAATGATTTAATGCTAATTTTATTTGTTGATTAATTTGTTCAGTATCATTTGGCAATGAAATTTCCGTTGTTTTTGATAATGATTCGAAAAATAAACTGGATAAATTTTGTACAAATTTTTGTGCATCATCTTTTTGTGGTGGAAGTGAACACTGTCAAATGGGAAAAAAATGAATAAATTCTTCGGTTTAGTTAAAATTTTTTTTTTTTGTTTACCTTTTGCTGTGCAATCAATTTCAACACAGTTAAATATGATTGAGATTCTTCACTTAGCTGTTGATCCAATGATTTTTTCCTTATCCAATGAAATAGTTTATTTATAATCAATGATTGTTGATTAATTTGTTTTCGAAGATTTTTAAATTGATAATAAAGATGTACTAAAAGCAAAGCAAAAAAAAATATTATAACTACCAACCCCAATCAATGAAACATCAATTTTACCGTTTGATCGATGTTGTGGCATAATGAATTTTGATAACGAATATTGTTTCTATAGAAAAATTTTTTTTTTTAAAGTTTTAAATTCAAATTTTTTAGCTCAAAACAATCAATCAAATGTTGACGGTTATAACAAACGAATGGCGCTAAACAAAACAAAAAAAAAAAACATATTGAGCAAGCGTGATAAATTTTGAGCATATTCATAAACAATGTATTTATTTGAAATTTTTTTAAAAAATGAATATATTTGACAAATGATAATAATGTTTGTTGATATAAAAATAAAAATTATTTATACAAAAAAAAAAATTCTGATGTTGATTTGTTTAATGTTTTCGTTTTCTGTTTGCATATCTTTTTCTTCCTTAAAGCCATGGATGCCAAGCCGGATCCATACAGCAAAGATTATCCGGATTAATTGCCAAATTGATTAATGTTGCAACATTACTTTCGGTACCATCAAATGTTGCCAGACCTGAAATGAAATGAAAAAATATGAAAATCACCCGAAAAAAAAATATTTTCCTTACTTTGTAATCTTGACATAATAGCATTAGCAGCTTTTGTAACTAAATTCACTAATTCTTCACCACCCATTTCAGGTATTTCATTCATATTTGGTGAATTAATTACATCGGCCAATTGTTGTTGAGTAAATTGTTGTTGTTGTTGTTGATTTGGTTGATCACCACCACCACTATTGCTAGTATCCATATTAGAATCATCTTTTTGATTTTGATTTAAAATTTTTGCCGTTTGATTAGTAGCTAATGCAGTCATTGCTGCTGATATTAATGCCATTTTTTCACTCGATTTAACACGTTTATGCCAATTGATAATTTCATCACGTAATATAGCCAATAATATTGAACGTACTTTATAATTTGGATGAACTAAACAACTTGCTGATGAAATCATTGTTGCCGTCAATGGTCCATGTATACCAATTTCAGTAATTAAATTCTGTACACTATGTGTCATACGGAATGGTACCGGCTGGTTGCTGATTAATTCACCTGGAAAATATTAATGAAAAAATTAATAAAATTTTTACAAAAAAAAAAACGTTTGTAAACTTACCACTTTCTTCATTCAAATCAAAACGATAATAAGCAATATTAATTAAACCACTATCACGATGTATATACATCATATCCGGATTTAATCTTGTCAAATGAAATGCAAATTCCGAAATACCAGCTAAACCTAATTGTAATGTAAATAATTTACGAAAATGCCAAAATTCTGTTGCTGTTGAAAATGTTTGCAGCGCCCATTCTTTTAACAATGTTTTCGGCGCCATTGATGATTGTATATCATAAATAATATCTTTTAATTGTGATAGCGAAACTTGTCCAGATCCTTTAGTCTGTAGACTTAATAAACGATCATAATATTTTGCAATTGGTGCATCTGGATCAGAACCCCTTCGAATCATATGTTGTTTATAGATTTCAATCAATGATAATGATGATACATTATCTTCAACAAAACGCATTTGTCCATGAATCGGTACAACACGTGGAACGGTAAAACTAATAACCCGTCGTGCTGTTTCTTTATGTTTAGTTAGATAAAGATTAAGTAAACGTAATAGATGTAAAAATCTTTCTTCACGTCTAACTTCACTTAATGATGAATCATTTAATACTAAATATGGATATATTTTACCATTATGACCACGAATATATAATCGTCGAGCAGTTGTATTATGTTTAGTAATAATTTCAACACGTGGCATAAAACGTGCAATATGTACAATACACATTGCATTCAATTTCGGTAGAAAATATTCACCCGGTAATGCTACTTCAACAATTTGATTTGAAAAATTACTTAAATAACGACATTTTTCTTCCAATAGCCATGATTTTGGTAATAATTTTGTTTTAGCTTCCAATATTTTTATCCATTTTTTAAATTTTACAATCAAATTATGTAATTTATGTGAACCTTGTACACTGAAATCAAAATCATTTGCAAATTGTTGTTTCATTTTTTGAAAATCCGGATCCTGTACTGTTGATTGTGCACGACGTGCTAATGTTTCTGATGCTGTTGTATTACTACTAGCCGTTGCTGTCGATGATGTTGAACGTTGTTGTTGTTTATTTTGATTTGTTGAATCATTATTTGCATTACTTGAATAATTTGTTGATTGATTAGCTGATGATGATTGATTACCGGCACTAGAACTACCACCAGCTGTTGCTGCATTATCAATACCAATTCCAAATGTAGTAACCAATTTCCTAATATAACTTAATGTATGATTTGATGTTATTGTTTCAGCAACATTATCACGATTTTCAAATGCAATTGTATAACATTTTGCTAATGCTTGTCGTAATTGTCTTAATATTTCTTCAAACCAATTTTCACGAAACCATGACATTTGATCCAGTATACCTTCAATCGATGTTAATAATGTTGGATGTAATTCACGTTGATGATGCATTATTCTTGTACAACGCCATGTTGCTGATGATACTTGTACTTGATCAGTAGTTGATTGTTGTTGTTGTTGTTGATGTGGTTGTTGTTGTTGTTGTGAATTTGATGATTGTTGTTGTTGTTGTTGTTGTTGAATACCAACAGCCGATGAAAATATACAATATTTATATTTCATTTCACGTTGTTCCAAACGTAATGAAAGATATAATGTCCGTGTTGGAAAATATACAGCTTCCGGAAACAATTTACTAATCTGTGATAATATTGTCAACATATGTTGTCCTTCCGATCGTACTAAACAATGTAGTAATTGTTGTATCCATGGTACCCAATTACAAGGTGGTACACCAGTATTATATTGTTCAACTGCTTGTGCTAATTGTTGTTCTTTATCATATGATAATAACCATAAAACATTTGATAAATATTTACGTGTTTTTGAATCACTTTGATGTCTGGATGCATGTAAGAATGCTATAATTGCATTTTTACCATTCTGCATATTACGTTGTGCGAATGATTCTTGTGCACCGGTAGTAAATATTTCATAAAAAAATTCACCCCACATTGCCCATGATTTTACAACCGTATCCGATAATTGTAATGATGCGGAAAAATTTTTATTCGCTTCATCCATACGATTCATTTTCATCAGAACATAACCTTTCAATGCAATAAATTCAGCCATCATTTCATTTTGAAAAAAATGTAAATGTGTACAATCAATAACGGACATTGCTTCTTGTAATTCTTCACCAGTTGGTTGCATTGAATGTTTCAATAAATGACATTTTAATTGTTGACGAATTTTTTGAAAACAATCAACTATTGGTACTTTTGGTATTGTATGTATACGATTTAATTGATCTAATGCAACATTTATTAGGAAATGTTTACGGGCAACTTTTGCCAAATGTATTAATGATTGTGCTGATGCATGTGCACCACATAATGCATTCGATGCTGAACCCGGTGGTATTGGATTTCCTTGTTGTTGTTGTAATTTTATTTCCTGTTCAAATCTTGTTACAATCATTTGATAATGATGTTGACGCCATGTAAATATATCACTCCAATGTGATAAATCATCCGCAACAATTGGTAAACGATTTTTCCATGTTTTTATTAAACTACGTAATTCATATGATGATCTTTCATTATTTGGATAAACAATACCACCACCACCACCAACACCACTGACATTACCATTCAATAAAATATGATTCAAATTATGTGCTTCATTCAATTCAATAACTTGATGTGCACCTTGTAATATACTGATATGTGCTGATGAAACAATTTTCGGTAATTTACGCCATTCTTTTAATAGAAAATTTGTTGCAACTTCAACCATACGTTCAGCAATTATCATATCACAATGATTTGGATTACATAATGCATTATAACCTTTATATAATGCTAATTTCCATGCAAAATCTTTTGGTAGATTTTGTTCAACACACATTACAGCCATATTCATTGCATCCCAATCCGGTATACGCCATGCTGATTCCAATACAAGTAATGGATTTGGTAAATCAATTGAATTACCATAATCTTTTAGAAAATCCCATTGATTTAATTCTTTTGAACAACGTATCCAATGTGATTCCCAAACCAGATATTCTTCATTCAACCATAATGGTATTGGTGTATTATTATATTCATTATTTCCTTTACTCATTGCCAATTCATATGCACCTTTTGATTGTTCAAAATAACCTTGTTGTTCATATGCGATTGCAATCAATGTTTCTTTATAATTTGCTTTTTTAAACCAAACACCTGACCAATAATCTTGTTCTTTCAATGTTTCATAAATATTAGCTAATGCAGACATACATTCATGACCATATGGTTGATTCATTGATGTTGGTAATTCATATGGTAGAATATCATTTATATTTGCCGATAGCGAATTCATACTATTCGTATTATGTTGTTGTTGTTGTTTTTCACCAACATTATTCAATTGTGATGATCCAACAACACTACGTGTATGTTTGATGATTTGTTGATTATTTGTCGATGATGATTGTTGTTGATTACTAATATCATTCGTAATTAAACCACCTAAACTAAATGCAGAACGATTTGAATAAATACTATCCATTTCCATTTCTAATAATAATGAACAACGATGCCAAAGATTATGATTACGGCTTAAATAACGTAGAATGGATGGTCGAAATTTTATCGATGGTTCACAATGTACAACTGCTTCGAAAAATGTATTCACTGAACTTATTGGTATTTCACGTTGATAAATATGTACACCTGATATGAAAAATGGTGCCAATTCACAAGCAATCATTGTTTGATATTTTTCTGTTAATATTGAATATATCCGTGGGAATAATTGTATCCATAAATGATGTGCTAATTGATTATCTAGATGACAAAGTTGTGCAACAGCATTAAAAAATGGTAATGCTTTATATTGTCGGTTACATTGAAGGAAATTACAAACAATTTCAACAATATCTTTGGATTTATCCTGTGATTTCGTATCTTGATTATTTGTTGCAGCTTTCGATGTCTGTTGATCATTGAAAATATCATTAAGAAAATTTTCCGAATCTTGTTTTTTGTCATTACCACCATTATCGACACAAACATCCATCATTTCAATACTATCGTTTTTGCTACTGCTATTGGTACAATTTTGATTAGTAAAATTCATCAATTCCATATTCATTAACATATCGGTTGGTGTACAATTCAAACCATTCGATACAAAACTTGTTAATAATAATGATTTATGATCTTGATTTTCATTCAATGGTATCAATGATATTGGTAATGGTAGTTTGGAATTCTGGTTACCAATTTTTATCGTTTCATTTTCATTTGATATTGATAATATCAATTCAATCGCTTGTTTAATCCAATAATGTATACCAATAGTATCCCAACTTTGTGAATTTATTATAAACAATAAACGTTCATATAAACGACGACGTAAACTTTGATTCAGAAGATTAAAAAATTTCTGTCGTATTTGTGGCTGTTGACAACGTAAACCGGCCATAAATGCAAATTCTAATTTTGTTGCTATATCATGTGTTTTTAATTGTTCATCCGAATAAATATAATGTATTAATTCTAAATATTGATTATTCAATTCAATATCATCTGGAAATCTTTTTTCAATATTATGTCCAATACGTAATACTAATGTTGTTTTATCACGTAACATTGATACGTTTGTTGTCGATGATCCACTTGTTGTCGACGACGATGATAATGGTTGTTTAATCCATTCTTCAAATATTTTTAATAATGTTTTCATCACCTTAATTTCAGGTGATTTTTCAATTAAAATCAGGAAAACATTATTGATTAATGTTCGCCTTGTTTCTGGATTTGAAAATGCAATACGATTTTTTATCAATTCCAAACAAAGATTGATTATATCAGCACATAATGATGAATTAAAATCTTGTGATGATTGATGTGTATGTGGATGATGATGATGTGGATGATTACCAATTATATTTGTATGTTCTTTTACTAATTTTTGTAGCATAACTAAAAATGGTGTCGATAAACGATCAATATATGCTGGTTCATTTAAACAGGCTGCTTTTAAACACATTAAAACACTAAATAATTGTGATAATGTTGTTGTTGAACTACTTAGACCAGGAATTGTTGTTGATTGACCAGTAGCTATTTGTTGACCAGTTGCTGTTGATTGACGTGATTGATTTGATGAAATATTATTATTATTGATAGTACCACCACCAACAACATTAGGATTATTCATTTGACCACCTGCACCTGCACCAGGTATAATCATTGGTTGTCCAATTTTATTATAAGACATAAAACCATTCAATATTAATGAATGTATATCGGTATAAAGTTGTTCAAATGTTTCTAATGTATCAATTTTAACTGGTTGACCACATTTTGGTGATATTGTTGATGAATGACATGATGGTGGTACTATTGACATCATTTTTGTTAATAAATTATGTACAGTTGATACAATTTTTGGATTTGTACATGTACAACATGTTGATATTGCACGTTGTAATGGCATTAACATTTGAATGGCCAGATCACGTTTTAATGTTTGTAAAAATAATATCAATAAATCTAGGGCCAAACAAATTTGTATAACTGTATTCGGTGGCAGTGATTGATGTGGTGATGATGATGAATTTTCATTCGAAACTAACATCAGAATTCTTTCTAATGAATGTAATTTTATATCATTTAATGGCCAAAATTCATTTTGCAAAGCATCTTTCAATAATGAAAATGCACGTCGACATAATGATTCGGGTAATGTTTGTGAATTCCAAGCAAAAAAATTCTGCGTTATACTACTACCAGGTGTAACATTAAAATCCGGTGACATACAAATAAAACGTAATAAAAATTGTAGAATAGCATCCGAATATTCTTTTTCAATTGAACCATGTGATAATTGTATTTCTTGCGGTGATAATGATGTTTGACTATTCAAACTACTTTGACTATTTGTAATCTGTAATGCTATTGTTGTTGATGATGATGATTTATTTGATTGTTGTTCTTGTTTTGAATCAAAACTTGATTCACTATCACTTGAATCAATATCAGTTTGTTTATCAGTTTTATCCATTTGTTCAGTAGAAATTCTTTCATGTTCCCAACGTATAATAACTTCAACTAAATCTAATGCAAGTTTCCTTGTTTCAATTATTGAATTTTGTGATAAACCATAACGTTGTATTGCATTAACCATATGCGGTAGATAAATATGTCTTGTTGGATAATAAATACGATAATATCGAACCAAAATCTGTAACAGATGATTAAATTGTGCTGAAACATGACTTTCTTCAATCATTAATTTTTTTGTAAATTGCCGTAGCTGTCGATAACCATCATTAATACGTTGCGGCAAGATTGGTATTAATATTTCTAATGCATTAAAAACAATTGCACGTGATTCTGGATAATATGCTTTCAGCAGGTTTTGTAAAACATGACGTATAATTCGTTTTAATATCGATATTTTTGATATAATATGTGCAACCAAAAGATGACAATAATATTTTTTCACTGAATCTTGACGACGTGTTGAATAAATCCCAGGCCATGCATATGACATTAAACTTCGCACTTCACTTTTTTCACGTTTACAACGTGGTACACGTTCATTTTCAGATATTTGTGGCGGCCGTATATAATTCGATGCATGTTCAACAATCAAACAACCAAGTTGTAGAATGAGAATTTTTATCGAATCCGTTACGGATGTTTTTTCTTCCATTAAAACATTAATAAAAACTGAAACTAAATTGGAATTTGTCGATTCTTGATTCATCGTTGTCGTTGATGACAATGAAGAATCATCTGGTTCCAATGGTTGTCCAAGAAATTTTTCATTTTCACCCATTTTAAATGTATATGAAAATATTGGTATAATAATATATTGTAGGATTTTTGCCTTCAATTCCATTGACCATTCCATCGATAAATCATCCACAGTTGTTGTTTGCGTCGAATTAAATAAATTACAAAATTTTAAAAATATTTCTCTTTTCCATTCGATTGAAAATTTTGTCAACATTTTTTCAGCAAAAAATTTACGTAAAAATTCAAAATCACAATGATATTTACCAATAAATGAACGTAATAATTGAAAATATAGTTCATAATCTTCTTGTTGATTATCCAAATAATTTAATAAACATTTTACTAATAAACGTGGTTCTTCCCATTGTTTTGTATTCATTTGATAATTTTCTTTATGATCATTATGAAATAAATTACAAATCCATATTGATTTTAATGATTTTATCAATTCCGGTTGTTTGATTAACCAATTTTTATCATATTTTATTAAATTATAAATAATTTTTATAACTTGATATCGTTGATATGATGAATTCATTAACATTGGTGTTGGTGATGATGATGATATTACATCGATTGTTGATGCAGGTGCTGGTACCTGTTGTGGTGATTGTTGTCCACCAATTATTAACATTGATGATGATGAAGTGGAAATAGTCGATTCAACCATTGCTGTTGATGTCGATGAATTTTGTTGATATAATGATTTAACACTTTGTTGTAATATTGTTATTAAACGTGATGGATTTTCATATAAAACTTTACGAAATGGATTACATTCTTCACCATTAACATCTTTATCTTTATCTTTTTTATCATTATCATCATCACCGGATGAAATAATATGAAGAAAAAAACGATAAATATGTTCTTCATTCAAACGTTGTTCCATTTGTGCAACCGATTCTTTTGGATAACGTTTCATAAAATGTTTAATTGGTTTATAATAAGACATATAAACATAAATATCTAATGATGTTTCGGCTTTTGTCAATAAATTCAACAGTAATTCAACATAACTAACATCAGCAGCTGAAATTTCACAAAATAAATATATAATTTCAATACCTAAATTCAAATATAATGGTATTTGATTTTCCAGATTCATTAGATTTGTTTTGATTATTTCATTTTGTTCTTGCGGTTGCGGTTGTTGTTGCGATTGTTGTTGTTGTTGTTGTTTCAAACGAAATTCATATTCTTTTTCACGATGACGTCGTAAATATTGACAACAAACATCAGTTGTACGATTTAAATGCTGAAACATTAATTCACATAATTTATCATTGAATAAATATGCAAACAAACGTGCAAGATTTTTCAAACGTTGAATTAAAAGTTGATCTTTTGGTGATAATAGCCGTACTTCACTTATATTTATAATAAAATTCCTAACGGTATTCCTTATAATTTCCGGATTAACATTATTCAGATATTTATATTTTTTCATACAATCATATGCACATTCTTGTAATTCTTGATCCGGTGATATCAATGCTTTGTAAAGAACATTAAAAATTTTATGTGACATTGTTTTTAAATGTTGACATGCTGATAGCGTACGCAAAGCTGATTTACGTAATGTTGTCAGTGAAACATTTTTATAACATGGTAATTTTGATAATGTTTGATCATCATTTTCACAAATAGAATAAACATCATTAAAAAATATTTGATGTTCATTAATTGTTGTATCAATAATGAATAATTGTGGTTCCAGCGTTATACAGAATGTATTACCATCTAGAATACCAATTTGTACTTGAATTGGTTGTTGAAATAATTTTTGTTTTTTAAATGGTACCATATCTTCTAACATTTCTTTATGTGGCCGAATTATATCTGTTATAGTACAATTTGCTGTTTTTGAATAAACATCCAATAAATACATTGCTTGTTCACGTACCGCAGTATTACTTGATGTAATTTGTCGTAATAATTCTTGTACAATATCATTCATTGATTTTTGTTGTAAATCATGTAAATCTTTTTGTGCTGCTGTGGTTAATGGTAGACCACAAATTTTAATCATCGTTTCCATATTATCTTTAGCCATTTCAATAACACCACTTGATAAATCACCGGATAAATCCATCATTACATAAAGCATTGCTTTTAGAATAATAAATTGATGATTAAACAACCAACGTAATGACATACGTTCAAATAAATAACGTACAGTAATACAACCACCATATTTTGAAAACCAAGCACGTTCATAACATAATGCACAAACACGTTCCAAAATATATTCATATAATGGTAATTGACAAGCACGATCAATATTACCCAGAACACTTGTTGTTGTTTCAATTATAACTCTCAATACAAATTGACATGGTTTACAAAGTTCTTTTTCTTCTTGTCCCATTACGGTGGTCATTGCATCAATCAAAACCAGCGGATCCATACCATGTAAACGTACAGTACGACCAGAACTATTAATCGGACCAGATTGTTGACAAATTGCAACCAATATATAATGCCGTACTAATGGTACCATAAAATTCAATACAGTTTGTCTTAATTCTTTTATAGCTGATGCTGTTAACATTGCAATCAATGCTGATTCATGTACTTTTCTCAGCTTTTCATCATTAAATTTATAAAAATTTATTGTTAATGATGATGATGATGATGATGTGGATATTGAATTCGTACTACTACTACAATAACCAAAATCTAAACCATTTAAAAATGTTGGATGTGAAAATAGTTTATGCATTTGTTGTTTTTCATTATCACTAGAGAAATTCTGTATGTTTGCAATTAGAAATCCTTTTACAACTTCCCAACTTTGTTGCCGATAAAATGTATCAGTATTTGGTAAACGTAAACTTTTACAAGCAATATCAATAACTTTATCCACTGGTAATTGTATTATTGAATCATTTTCAAATTTTATTTCCATATATGCATATGAACCATGTGATGGTATATTATTATTATTAAATTCAATTTGTCTTTGATTATTATTATTATTATTATTATTATCAAAATGATCATCATCATTTTCATTCAATATTGGATCACGAAATTCAAGATATTCTAATTTTTGTGGTTCATTCATCATACGATGATTTGTACCGCCAAGTTTACCCAGTATACGAAATGATATTTGTGCAATATTATCATTTTGATAACGTAATGTTTTCCATAATGATTGCATTAATTCAATACGAATAGGTAAAAAATGTGCATAAAGAAAATCTGGTTGTAAATTATCAACACATAATTCTAATGTTCGAAGGCCTTGTGCAATAAGATTTGGTGCACCATTCAATGCCGATACTAATGGATCCATTAACCATGGTAAATATGGTAGTAATGATGATAATCGTACAGGTATTGTTAAACATAATTCAACAAATAAATCTTTCATATTTTGCCGGTGTATACCGGTTTGAAAATTATTTAAACCTTGTAATAATGATGGTAACATTGGTAAAAATTCACGATATAATTGATCATGTGAACCGCCACCAATCGATCGAAATAATGCACGTAATAACATAAAATAATTATATGGTTCTTGTGCATTTAGTGCCATTTTCATTGAATTATTAACCAATTTACGTAAATGTGGTTGTAACATACGTTCATTTTCAAAATGTAAACACGAAACCGATCCGAATACTGATTTAAATAATTTTAAATATAAACTTGACATTTCAGTATTATTACCCATTATTTCCATACGTTCAACCAGATAACCCGTAAGTATATCAGCAAATACTCTTGATGTATTTTGTTGCGACAATAGATAATGTACCAATTGTGTTAGATTACTATTTTCATATAAACAATTAACTAAATAATCGATTGATGATTTAATTATAACACGAAATGTTTGTGGTGTTAATATTGTAAATATATTACAAAATAATTCAATAGCTTCTTTTTCTTCTTTTGTACGTTGATTAAAATTTTGTTGATTATTTGTTGTTGTTGTTGTTGTCGACGATTGTTGTTGTTGTTGACGATTATTATTATTACTATTATTTAAATTTAGATTAAAACCATTACCACCAGACGATTGTTGTTGATTTGTTGTTGTTGTTGTAAATGGAAATATTGATAAATTATAAATTTCTAATAATTTTAAACCATTTTGAAATAAATTGATTAAAATATGAATATCATTTGGTCGACAATAACCAGTACGTATTGGTGGTTGTTGTTGTTGTTGTTGCGGCGGTTGTTGTTGTTGTTGTTGACCATTTGTTGTTGTCGTTGATGATTGTAATGATTGTGCATACAGTGACCATTGTATATTTTGACACATATCATTTAATTTTATTGATAATAATTTTAAACCATTAAATAATTGCCTGGTTAACATACGACATTCATTTATTGTTGTTGTTGATTGTCCACCATCCGGTGGTATACCATAATGTAAACGATAATCATCATTATCAATAAATGATGATGTTAAATATTCAATATTTGTTTTATAATTATTGCTATTATCATTATAATCAGCTATATCATCAATATTGGTTGTTGACGATGATTTTTTCAATTTATCATTTTTCGTTGTTGATTCTTTCGTTGATTCCTTTGAATTCAATTTTGCCTTTATTCTTGGTAATGAATATTTTGCCATTAAAGCAATTTTATTTACATAAATTTTCAGAATTTTTATCAATGCTGATGGTACATTCGTCAGGCATTTTTCCTTTTCACCAGTTTTACAAAATGCATCAGCAATATTAATCAACAAACGACATGACATAATATGATTTGAAAGACTTAATGAATCATCATAAAGATTACGTGAATAAATATTTACAACTAAATTTAATTCTCTTAATTTTAATGAATCACGAAGATGATGAACCAAATCATATATAACTGAATATGCAAATGCACGTAATGTTTCACGTGTTGCCCAACCATTACCAATAATAATATTTTCATTAAAAAATTCTTCAATATAAGGTAGAAAATATGTACGAAATCTTGTACCAACAATATAACGTGTTGAATATAATAAATCTTTACGTAAACTTGTCATTTCATCGGGTAAACTATGAAAAAATTTCAATACAATCGCTGGTAATTGTTCAGCAATTTTTGGTAATGTTTGAAATTTTTCTTCTTGCGTACGTGCCATAAATGCAATAAATGAAAAATATTTTATCTGCACTGTTAGGAATTCTGAATAAATATCACGATTAAATGATGGATCATTTTTCTGTTCATCAGTTGGTTGTAATTCAACTAATTTTATAGCCAATTGTAATAATTCAAAATATTCAATTTCATTTAGATTACGATAAACTTGCATTAACATTATTATATTGATTGGTACTTCAATTAATAATTTTAATGAATTTATACCTCTTGGTAATAATGTTAAACAAGTTGAACGATCAGTTAATGATGTTGCAATAAATATTTCATCTAATGTTGGTTCCAAATCGGATTTTTCAACACCACTAACCTGTTTGGATGGTTGAAATATTTTCTGATAATTTTGCATCAGCATACAGGTAAATTTTTTGATTAATGTTAGAAATTTTTTTGCCTAATTTGAAACAGAAAAATAACACAAAAAAAAAATCAAATTAGAATCGAAATAGCTTTTTCAAAATGGGAAAAATAGCAAAATCCTAATCCTGAATCAAATCAGATCTTATCAGCAAGGATCTTTGATTCGTTTTTTTAAATTCTTTTTCGGTTCCTTTGGAAAAGGAACAGAGGAGAAAGGAAAACATAATCTCATAATCGCTTCTTTCATCATTTTTGATTCATTCATTTTTTAAAGGATGATTTTTCTGCTTATTTTAAGTGAACAAAACTTACATCATCATTTAATTTTTGTGTACGTTTATGTAGATCAATCAATATACGAAATGCAATACAAGCATTATCTTCATTATCCGATTCCATTATCATATACAGTACTGGAAACATTTGTTGAAGAAAATTTTTCGTAACTGATAATGGGAAACGTGTTAACAATTCCAATACTAATTGACGATTATGTGTTTCAGGATTTCCTTTTATATGACATTTTTTACCAGTATTTAGAAATTGTAACATTATTGGTAATGCTGTTGCGAAAAAACTATTAAAACGATTGTTTAATGAATAAATCTATAGATCAAGAGAAAAGAGAATGATAATTAACTTGTAATTTTATAATTTATAATTTCTTTTACAAACCTCCAAGTTATTATTAAGTTCTTGTAATAATTTTCTCATTTCAATTCCTTCTTTTGGATCTTTTAAATCATTTAATCGTACGATTCCATTACGAAATTTTAATACTAATTCATCAAATTCTTCTGGATCACGTGGTGGTAATGAAAAATCGGATTCATTTACCGGTGCACTTGTCGGTGTTGTTGCTGTTGGTGGATCATCCATTTTTTCTGTTTTATTTTTCACTGTTGACACTTGTTTCAAAGTTTGTTTTTGTTTTGTTTTGAAAATAGAAAAAAAAAATCAAAACAAAATTAAAAAATCAAATCAGATGATTCAAAATGATGATCATGATCATCGATAGATGTTGTTGATTAATCACACTGTCAATATTGATGAATTATTTTTGGTTTTCAAAAATCAAAAAAATTGAAAAAGAATCACATTTGCGGTGTTTTTGTTGTAGTTTCGAAAAAAAAGCGCATTGACAATATCCATGCAGTTTATATATCCATTCTAATGGCCGTTAAAAAACATTGAACATGCGCAATTCGAATCCAAAATTGGTCGAAAACCGTCTTGATTGGATTCATGATCCACAGTGTTTATCAAACAGACAAAAATTCATATCAACACGGTATTAGAGAACCAGTTGAGAACGACTGTTTTAGTATAGAAGAATATTTTTGAAACGCCTTTCTGCCTGCCTAGCATGCCATGCTCAACATGGATATAAACACACTGACAGCAGTGAAAAAACTTTCTCGGGAAAAATATTTTCGGAAATTATTTTTGAAACCCACAAAAAAATTTCCAAAAAAGATTTTTTTTTTTTGGAACATAGAATCCAGGAGAATCAAATGCAAGAATCATCAAATGAAAACAAAAACCATGCGCCATTCGATGATGATGATTTTGTTGGGAATTTCCAGATTCTATAGATTCTGACGACGACGTTGTTGTTTATTCTCCCTGAACGGTATTAACCGAATTATTGGAGAAAAAAAAATCATTTCAGGGTTGGTCACCTGAAATTTTTTTTTTGTTTTCCATATCAATTTTCTTCGACTCAATCTTGATCTTCTTTTTCATTTCTTTTCTTCAAATTTACCATTTAAGGATATAATTTTTCAACGCTGCTCTTTGATGTTTGTCATCCTATATCATCCTACGCAAAAAAAATGTTGTTCAAATCCAGCTTGCTGACGATTTAACTTTTTGTTGTTGTTGTTGTTCTTGGAATCAAATCATATCTTGTATTCTTTGTTCGTAAAAATCGCCAATGATAATGGCCGATAATAATGATGATCATTCGAAGAAATCTACCATCGATGTTATCGATGGTGATGATAAATCCAATTCAAATAAACAAATAAATTATGAAAATCCAAATTATCGTAAACTTTATGCAAAATTATCAATAAATCAAATGATGATTGGTGGTGATGATCATGAAAATAATGAAAAATCGATTAATCAAACTGAATCGAATCCATTTAGTTATGATGACGACGACGACGATGATGAAGATGATTCCCTAGACGACGAAGAAGAAGATGATGATGATGAATATGAAGATCTTTCATCCGAAAATGATGAAAATGTTAAACAAAATCTTTTAACAAAGGAAAAAGAAAAAGAAAAATCAAAAGATTCGAATTCGAATTCGAATTCACAACAGCAAACATTCGATTTACCCGATGGTTGGGAAAGACATGAAGATGAATTAGGTTCATATTTTTGGCATATACCAACCGGTACAATACAACGTGAACGACCATATCTAAATACATTGGATAAATCAATGATACGCAGTGATTCATTAGTATTTTTAGATAAATCTGCTATTATTAATATTGGTGATTATAATTTATCGGAAGATTTGATTGAAGAAGAAAATCCATTGGCTGAATCAAAAGAATCGAATCAAAACGACGATGACGACGATGATTATCACCAGGAAAATGAACATCGAGAGCAGAAAAAATCCTTGATTAATCGTAAAAAAATTATTGCCAATATGAAATTAACATTTCCAGAAACCGATGACGACGACGACGATGATGATCCAGATTCCTTATCGATTGAAAATGAATTAACATTTATTGTACATTCATTAGGATGGTTGGATGTTGATGAATCGCAAATAAATTCTCAGACTGGTTCAACCGTAATAAAACGTTGTATTTATGAGCTGACAACCCGAGCGGAAAATGCTGCACGTTGTTGGGGACCAAATGAAACACAATCATTAATATTGAAAATAAATTCGGAACGAATATCACTGCTGGAACCAACAACATCAACAACATTATCCATTCAGTTGATACGTGAAATACGTATGTGGGCTGTTGATGATAATAATAATTTTGCCTATGTTGTTAAAGATCGTAAAAATGGTAAACCTGGTACGGTTAAATGTCATATATTTCATTGTGATGATGATAATGATGATAATATGGATACCACGAATGCATCAAATCAATCATCACAAACAGCACAACGTTTAGCATTATATTTGAAAAATGCATTGATACAGATTAAAAATCGTAATCATAATCAAGAATCGAATGATCGTCCTGATCAGCTTTTATTGAAATCCAGCAATCAACATCCGAATCATCAATTTAATTCAAAAATGGAAAATTTTGAATTTCCAACACCGATTGAAGAACCAAAAAAACAAATCCATGCATTATATATTGGTTTCATACCTGTTTCCAAACCAATGGGTATTGAAATATTAAATATGGCTATTGAAGAAATTATTAATACATTACGTTGTTGTTCATTAACAAATGATTATTCAAATGAAAATGAATTAATGCGTCCAGTTATGATAACAATATCACCATCAAATTTGATTGTTGAATGTCAACAAACTGGTTGTACATTAGTTGAATGTCGTGTTAGGTTTGTTTTTTTGTTTTTTGATTTTTGATTTTCAAAGAAAAAAAATGACAAATTTTTCAATTTTCTTTTCTGGGTAGATATCTATCATTTCTTGGCATCAGTTTAGACAATATAAAACGTTGTGGTTTTATAATGCAAGTAAATGAAAATGAATTTGTTTGTCATTGTTTTCAAGTTGAACCAAGTGCAGGTGCATTATGTAAATTAATTGAAGCTGCTTGTAAATTACGTTATCAAAAATGTTTGGATGCACATTCAAATAAACAAAAACAACAACCTACTGCTAAATCGACGAAAAATAAAATAACATCACCAACAACAACATCGACATCGACATTAACAAATTCATCACCAGTTGCCGCATTGAAATCATCAATATCGGGTGTATTTTCAAAAATTTTAAATAAAACTTCAACAACAGCCGCAGCAGCAGCTACTTCATCCAATTCTCTTGATTGTTGATTTCAGTGTGAAAAAAAATTTACAAAATTCTGATTATAATTTGCTTAATTCTTTAATTATAATTTTAAAATAAAATTTTAAAATTTTACAAAAAAAAAATTTACAAATTTCAATTCAGATTAAGATTCGAATATGACAGGTAGATATTATCATAATTCTGATGATGGTGGTGGTGGTGGTGGTGGTGATTTTCATCATTTATAGCATCATTACCATTATCAAAAAATTCATATTCATTACGCATATTATTACCTGTATATGCTAAACAACGTAAATTCCATTCACCTGTTAATTGATTATATTGTACATTATCTTCAATCAATTTTAAACATGTTTCAGGTATATAATAGCTGATCAATGCATTTGTTAATTTTATCTCTTTTTCCGATATCCGTATTGAATCCAATAATTCACTACGTAATTTTTCATGTTCAACATTCATATCATCCAATTCGGAACGAGATTCTTTTAGAAAACCATATGCTTTACGTATTTTACGATTTAATGCCTGTATTTCTTCTTGTAATGATACATATGAATCTTCTATTTCTAATATTTCTTGTTGTCGTTGTTCTAATTCTTTACGTAAACGATCCTCTTTTTCACGTTGTTCAATTAGTTCACGTTCACTTTCAACAATTAATTTTTCTTGCATTTCAGCTTTTTCCAATAGATTTTCACCACCAATACAAATTTTTGCTTCTAATTGTTTAAGTTTTTCTAATAATTCATTTGGTATTATTTTTGTTGTTGTTGAATCATTCATTTGATTATCATTATCATGGTCATTATTATCATCGTTTTCTTGTTCTTCAAGTTGTTGTCGTAATTCTTTTACCTGTTCTTCGAAACGTCGTAATAATGCATCTTTACTATCTTCATTAATAATTGGTTTATTTTTAATATTTTTTGTTTGACTTGCAAAACGTAATGTACTAATTGTTTCTTCTTGGTTTATCCGTGCCGGTCCAATACATGCTATTAATAATGTTTTTGAATTACCACCTAATGAATCGGATAGAATTCTTGTTAATTTTGAATTTCTATATGGTATAAATGTTGCTTTTGGATCAGTCAGAGCAGCAATTACCAACGATAATGATGTTAGCGATAAATTTATCTTTGCTGCTTCTTTTAAACGTAAACCGGTTGTACCGGTTTTTGTTTGTCGTTCCGAACCGGCTAAATCAATCAAATGAAATTTTCCAACCCTTACGATCGATGTTTCCGGATTATCGGCACCAATTTCAGTTTCAATTGTTATTGTAAATATTGTATGCGATCTACTTGAACGTTGATTCATACGGGTTGAACCAAACGAACGATATTTATCACCAGTTTCTTTTAATTTTTTTAAATCCATAACATTATTTATAACAAAATTTGATAAATCTTTTATAATAATTTTTCCATTCTGATTTTCTTTTAATTCCAATGTTTTTTGACCAATATTTTTTTTACTACCACTATTAGCCACTAATAAATCACGTATTTCTTCATTATAAATTTCATAATATGAAGCACGTACTAAAAATTTTTGATTATTTTTACTTCGTTGTATATGATCAAATATATGTTCAAAACTATTTTGCATAATACCCGATGCTGTAAAGGTTTTCCCCGTTCCAGTTTGTCCATATGCAAATATTGTACCATTATAACCTTGTAATACACAATCAACAATATGTTTAGCTGATTTTGTATAAACATCATTTTCAGTTGATTTCCAATCAAATACACGATCAAATGTAAATTGTCTATTTGAAAGCTGTATTGTTTGATTATCATTTCCAATCTTTGTTTAATGAAATGAAACAATAAGATTAAAAATACAAGAATTTCCATCGAAAAAAGAAAACTTACTTTAATTATAATTTCTTCATTTGATTCTAAATCCGGTAATAATGGCCGACATCTGACTACAACACGTACATTATCTTCTTTTGATGACATCGTTTTTTCTCTCTTGAAGATGGTGATGATGATAATGATTTGCCAAATTCAATATATTCAATGTTTTTTAATGTTTTTATCTCGTAGAATTCTTCCAAATGGTCGTCATGGAAATCGTTGTTGAATCACAAAAATGAATATTCTTGATGAACAATTTTTTTCGCTTTCCATCCCATCAAATGGAACTTTGGAACAGTCGACATTTTTGACCAGAATCAGAATTTTTCTTTTTTCGTTTTACAGAATCCCGTTGAGTATTCAAAAGTAGTGGTTCGCGATCCAGAAAAAATGGTTCCATTTTTTTCAAAAAAAAAAAAATTCTATAGAATTCTAATAAATATGGCAAAAATAACAAAATCAAACCCCGATAGGTTGATATAGTCGAAATGTATATCTTTTCCTTGTTACATATATGTGTGTTATAATAATTGCGGTGTGTGTTTTTATTGTTGTACAAACAGAAACACAATACCCCAGAAAAAAGATTCTTTGGTTTATCCAACAAAACAAAAGAATTATTCTTTGGATTCTTTTTTATCAATTTTTTTTCTGTCGATATTCAATCAATCAATCAATCAATTATTCAACTTTGACGAAAATCTTCAAGTTTTTTTTTGGCGTTTGTGTTTGTTTGGCTTTTGGATCTTTTGGCTTCGAAAAACGAATCAAATTTTTTTTTTGGAGAGTGGAAAAATATTGTATCCACATACAACACGTATTGTTTTGTTTTGTTTCTGGAAAATTTTCTCTCATCAAATCAATTCGTTAAAAGAAGCAGAACAAAAAGAAAATGCAAAATCCATCCGGAGGATTTCCACCATTTCCATCAATTATAATGCCAAATGTTGTTGCATCTTCATCATCATCATCATCCAATTCAGCTGCAACAATGATTCCTGGTCAGCCATCAATCATTCCTGCATTCTTACCTGCAACAAATTTTCATCCATTTTCATTGACTGGTATACCAATGCCACCACCACCAACCATAGCAACCGCAACACCAGCACCTATTCTACCAATACCACCAATAATATCATCACCATTGAATAATAATAATTGGGTGGAATATAAAACACCTGATGGACAACCATATTATTATAATACAATAACAAAACAAACATTATGGGAAAAACCAGATGAATTAAAAAATAATATTGAACGTTTAATTGATCAATGTCCATGGAAAGAATATAAAACTGAAGATGGTCAAATATATTATCATAATATTATAACAAAATCATCATCATGGACAATACCAAAAGAATTGGATGATTTAAAACAACGTTTATCATCAACATCATCGTCGTCGTCGAATGATAAGCCAGCAACATCGGAATCGAACGATTCGAATGAAAAGACAATCGAACAACAACAACAAATTGATAATCAAACATCTGAATCAATCAATGAAAATAACGATCAAACATCAAACAATAATGTTGAAAAGCAATTTGATAATTCGAATTCGAATGATTCGAATGATGATAATTCAGGGTTAATTTCTGAAACAACAACACCAAAATCTGATTCATTACCCGAATCAATACCACCAACAACAACAACAAAACAACCAAGTAAATCTGATTTATTAGAAATATTTAAAGATATTTTACGTGAAAAAAATATTTCAAGTAATGCTAGTTGGGAAAATACATTGAAAATTGTTGGAAATGATATACGTTTTGAAAAATTTCGTTCCCATCCAGAACGTAAACAATTTTTTAACGCTTATAAAACACAACGTTCGAAAGAAGAAAAAGAAGAAATGAAAAATAAAATTCGTCGTGCAAAAGAACAATTAGCACAATTTTTACGTCGTACTGATCGTATGAATTCAATGATACGTTATCGTCATGCATGTGAATTATTTCGTGATCATGAACATTGGAAAATTGTACCGGAAAATGATCGTAGAGAAATTTTCGAAGATGCTGTTGCAGAATTATCCAGGAAAGAACGTAATGAAGCAAAACAATTACGTAAACGTAATATGTCTGTTTTAAGTGAAATATTAGATTCAATGCCAAAAATAACATTCAATACAACATGGCAACAAGCACAACAATTATTATTAGATAATCAAACATTTGCTGATGATTCACAATTATTAAATATGGATAAAGAAGATGCTCTAATTGTATTTGAACGACATATAAGACAATTAGAATCAGAAGAAGCAGAAGAAAAATTACGTACAAAACGTATACAAGAAAGACAAAAACGTTTAAATCGTGAATTATTTATACAATTTTTAGATGAATTACATGCATCAGGTAAATTAAATTCATTATCAAAATGGTCAATACTTTATTCAGAAATATCATCTGATATACGTTTTGATTCAATGTTATCACAACCATTATCTGGTTCAACACCATTAGATTTATTTAAATTTTATGTTGATGATTTAAAAGCACGTTATGAAGATGAAAAAATTATTATCAAAGATATTCTGCAAAAAGCATCCACAGATTTCGTAATGACACCGAATACAGAATTTTCTGAATTCGTTACCGTATTAAGTAAAGATACTAGAAGTGCAAAACTTGATTCAGGTAATGTTAAATTAATGCATGAAAAATTATTGGAAAAAGAACGTGAAAAATATCGTGAAAAACGTCGTGAAGAAAATAAACAACGTAAACGTTTAGAATCAATATTTTTAGATATGTTATCACGATTATCACCACCATTGGATGAAAATTCAAAATGGTCAGAAATTCGTCCGTTGATTTGTACGAAAGATGCATTCATGTTAATTACGGATGAAAATGAACGTTTATCAATATTTGAACGTGCTATTAATTCAATTGTTGAAAGTTGTTCACATCATCATAATCATAAATCTGGACATCGTCATCATCATCATCAACAACCGCAGCAACAACATTGTCGTAGCAGTAGTCGTCATAATAGTTTATCGAAAAATATGGATATTGTCGATCAGCAGCAACATGGTAATAAACAACAATTAGGTAAAGAAATGGAAAAAGATAATAAGAAAAATAAATATTCGAAAAATCAAGAAAAGCTGAAAAGTCATCAAAGTCGAAATAGACATAAACATCATGGTGATGAACATCGAAAACAATCCTCATTATCACGTTGTTCATCAATTGAATCGAATGAATCAATTGGTGGTGGTGGCGCTCGTGATGATGGTTTATCTGTTGATGGATCAGATTCACCAATATCGATGGCTGAATCTTCTTCATCTACTTCGTCATCTTCTTCTTCATCGTCGACGTCGTCATCGTCATCTTCATTACGTTCAATATTGAATGATAATGGTGATGATGATGGTCAATATCAACAACAGCAGCGAATCGATCAATCGCAAAATAATCGTAATTTACGACAAAAACATTCATCACATTCGAAATCTGATCATCGTCATCATCATCGTGGTCATCGATTGACAACCAATGATTCACGATCACCATCACCATTACCACCACCATCATCATCATCTGCTACTGCAAGCATAAAACATTATCATCATCATCATCATCATAGTCGTAGCCGATCACCAATGATTAATCATCAACAACAACAACAAAAACGAATTTCATCATCATCATCATCATATCATCGTCGATCAACAAGCATATCACCAACACGATCAAGGACAAAACGTTTTAAAAATACTTCCGTAAGTTTTTTTCGTTGACAGATTTCATTAGCGTTAATTCGAAAATCTATTTTTAGGAATTTGATGATAATGATTTAGTTGTTGGCAGTTCAAAAAGTAAACGTAATCGTATTGAAAAACGCTATGTGGATGATAATGATTCAATACCAACGGATATTGTTAATGTAAATGTTAATGTTGTTGGTAATGGTTTGGATAATAATCTTGAAGAATTGGAAAAACAACGTAAATTATTGTTGAAACAATTGGAAAATTCGACATGATTTTTTTTTTCTTGGATTTTCTGGATTGATTTTCAATGGGAAAACATCAGGCAAGCAAGCAAGTATGAATGCCAAATAACATTTCTTCCCCTATTTAAACACAAACAAGTTTTTTGCATTGAATTAACCTGAAATGAATCGAAGAAAAATCCAAACATTTATATTTATCTTAGCATTTATAAAGCTAATTACAATTTTTTTATAAATAAAAAAAATATTAATAAATTTTATTAATTATAAAAAGAAAGAAAAGAAAGAAGTTTATTATAAAAATCGTTATTTACAAATTTTTTGTTCGAGTTAAAAAATATCAAAAAAGAAGAATTATAAAGAGAAAAAAACAATCACTTAATCATCAATATGATGAGATCACAATAAAAAAGAAAATTACAAAAAAATTTGAAAAATTTCAAGCAAGTAAAACACCACACACAGGTAGTTGACTCGAATTGATTGATTTTACGGTTTTTTTTCCAAGTTGACGGTTGATTGATTGATTGATGAAAAGATTGATTGTTTTTTTGATTGATCGATCGATTTGATTGATTTAGGATTTTGATTTCTGATTGATTCAATCATTAATATGTTGTAAAATATTTTCAATACTAGCATAAGTACCGGTTGTAAAGCCAGCAATACCTAATAAAAATATAGCACCATCTTTTAGGTAGATCCACATCCAACGACCTAAACCTTTTTCTTCATTCCATAAAACACAAATATCAATAATTGGTGGAAACATCAGTGCAATACCGCTTGATGATATAGCACCAACTAATGATATGAATAAATCTAATTTTGGTATTGCAGCAGCTAATGCAACTAATTAAAAAAAGGTTAATTAATTTGGATTATGGAAAAATGAATAGATAAGGTAGATAATTTACCTGTAAACGTAACCAAACCAGCACGAAAAAAATATTCAATAGTATTAGTTTTTTTAGTACCTTCTTTAAGTTGAAATTTTTGACAAATCCATGGCCATATTATTTGTACAGGGACATAAAATTGTATTGCATATGATAGGAATATTGCACATGCAAATATAACTTTACATGATTGATAAAGTGGTTCAGCCGGTAGATTTAATGTTATTGAACCTTTAACAAGGTTACCGTATTTAAGATAACCAAAAAAACCGATAGCAATATTTATCGATGCTACCAATGACATTGATGTATTCAAAACACCAACATAACCTTGTAATGTTTCCGGTGTTTGCATTTCTTTTTGTAATGGTAATATCAGTCCGATACCTTCGAATGCATAAACAGCCGTACCCAGAAATAATGGATATCTTGCCAGTGAACCAACTTGTGTTACTTGATCTGGATTTGGTAAATCTTGTACCAAATTTATCATTACAATTACAAGACCAACGGTTTGTAATAAATTTGCCATACTTGATGCTAGCGATAAATGTTTTAAACTTTTAACAAATGATAATAATATAAATAATGGTAGGAAGAAAACTAGATATAAATTTGGTTTATAATGAAATTGTTCCGGTGTTAATTCACTTATAAACTGTTTTGTAAATTAGAAAAATAAAAAGATACAAATCGCCATTATAGATTTTGTAATTTTAGTAAATTTTTTTAGTAAAAAACATACCTGACTAATATTTTCAGCAACAAACAATGAATAAACACAACAAAAACCTAATTGTGTAATCAATAGAAAAAGATTAACAATTCTTGATGCCCATTGTGAAAATGGACGTAATGGTCGTGGACCGATTGTGAATGCATTCAGCGCCACCTAGGATCAAAACAAAAGAAAACAATGAATTTTTTTTGAAATTTTGTCGTTTGTAGCACTTACATCTTGATATTCCAGTTTTCCGGTTCCTAAACGTTCCGAAAGAATATTATTTGCCCTTACTAATATATGCATACAATGTGTACAAAGCATACAAAGTATTGGTAAAGATACGAGGCCAACATAAAGACCGGCATTCATGAATGCACCTGTTTAAATAATGATGGGTTAATAAAAATTTAGGAATTAGGTATTTTTAATTTAGGAATTTTTTTAAAGAAAAACTTACTTGGCATTGCCAGAATACCGGTACCAATATTCGCCTTCATAATATGCATCATTGTTTGCATATTTGTTGTACGTTTTTCTTTGACCAACATTTTTTTCTTTTTTTGATATTGTTCTAATGATGATTCTTGTTGTGGATACTAATGAAAAAACACAAAACCAAACACGAAAACAAAAAACAAGCAAAAAAGAAAAACACAAAGTTGAAAAATGATTGATTGATTGATTGATCAAATTGGAAAATGTTTTCGTTTTTAAAAAGGAAAAAAAAATATAAATTTTTAGAAAAGAATTTTTTATCTTGGATGAATCTTAAACACTAATTACCTAAACACACACACACTTGCACAAAGTAATTGACCTTAATCGATTAATTAATATCGATAAGGATTGATTGATTGATTGATCAATTTCTTTCCCATTTGATTTGATTTAAAAAAAAAACAAAAGATATAACTAATTTCAAAGATGTCACTGGGTTTTTGTTTGGAAAAAAGAAAAAAATATTTTTGAAAAAAAGCACCTAAGAGATTTTTTATATCGCAAATATGATAATTATCTTAATTTGTTTTTTGTACAAAATGAGAAGAGATCATAAATCATTCATTTTGTAAAAAAAGGTAGAGGTAGTTTCAATGGAATTTACAAATCATTTTTGGTTAATTATCATTTTTCTGGCTAATCATAACAGGTGTCTAATTTTCCACACTGGTAACTTGAATCAGGTAGGTAAAACACTTTGTTTGTTTGTAAATGTACTTTTGTTAAAAGAAAAAAAGAAAAATTACAAATAAAAACTTACCTTTGATCCATTTGAATCATAATCATTTGAACTATAATCACTTAGATTATCACCATTATTATTACTTTTATAATTTGAAATTAATTTATATTTATTATTATTTATAAAGGTTTTTGATAAATCATTATCATTATTATTATAATTTCCGGAAATTGTAAATTCATTATCAATTAATGGCTGTTTTTCTGACATTCCAATTGCACTATCATCATCATAAAATTGTTGTTGTTGCTGTTGAAATGAATCAACAACATTATAATTTTGTTGTTGTTGTTGTAGATTTGTTGTTGTCGATTTTAATTGTTGTTTTGATGTTGATGGAAATAGCGATGGATAATGAGGATTATATTGAGATCTTTTTGTTTGTTTTGAAAATGTTTTTCTTTTCAATCGATCCGCTATTTGTACATTGACAAATATTCGATTTGGTTCGGCCATTTTGATCGGTTTTCTCTCGGTAATTTTTACCTGTCAATCAAAAATTAGAAGAAAAAATTTTTTTAAAAAATTTCACTTTAAAAACATCTGGTTTCGTTCTCTTTCTCTCAGAGTAAGAGTGAAAACACTTGAAACAAAACAGCTGCATGCAGCTGTTTTTTCTTCTTCTTCTTTTTCGGTCTGGGTTAGGTTAAACAAACTTTTGTTTGACACTCGTGACAGACAGAAAAAAAAACACCCACACACGTTCAAACAAACAAAAACACACGTTTTGTTTTTTGATAAAATTCATTCATTCATTGATTTCGAGAAACTTCCTTGTTTTCTTTTCGCTAATCTCCCTTGAAAAATTTTGTTTTTTATGGAAAATTTTTTTTTTCACTTGAAAAATTTTCTAATCTCAATTTATCAAGTGTCCTTCTTCTTGTTGTTTAAAACAACAGATAACAACAACCTAACCCACAATGGAAATATTTTTTCTCAAGTGATTCTATAGTCAATCAAGTCAAGTTAACTTGTTACCCAAACAGGCAACCCAAAAAAATCAATTTTGATTCCTTTGATCAAATTTTCGGAAATCAACCCGTACTGTGTCTATACCATCCTACCATCTACCATCTACCATCTGCAGATATTTTTCAATGTTTCGATGAGAAATTATCATCAAAATTTTGTTTTTTAAAAAGTACAAATCTTATCATCACCTGATTATCACTCTCGGATGATGATTACAGAAAACAACCGCAAATTGAACAAACAGCAAACAGCAAACAACAATTTTTTTTCTGGATAGACTTTGATTTTTGTTGGTTGGGTTAATCATTATCAACAAACAAAACTCTATATTCAATGATTACAACATTTTCCAAAAAACATTTCATTCATTGACATCATCATCATCATCATCAAGATGATCGATTGATCGATCATCGATATTGCCATTTACAGGTCATTCGACTTGTTGTTGTTGTTGTTGATTTTTTACACTAAAGAAGAAATTCTACGTTGTTTTTTTTTTTTTTTTTGATTTCTGACTTTGGTATTCAAGGGTTAACAAATCAAACAAAACCAGAACAATTTTCTTTCGGAAAATAGCAATCAAGGGTTTACGTTTGGAGGTAAAAAGGAATGAAAAAAAATAAACAGAAAAACATACCTAATTAAGATTTTTTTGGGACAAGATCAGAAAAACTTGTTGCTGTTGTTGTGGAAAATACCATAAAAAGTTTCACTTTTTTTCTGGAAAAAAAAGATGCTGATCTTTGATGTTTGGGATATTGGATGTTTGAAATGATTTTTCTTTCTTAAAAAACAAAAAATTCACCGTTTTTTGGTTGCAAAATTGAACAAAAATAAATAAACGAAAAATGACATTAACACTACCGACTCTGATCAAATGATTCAATCATACAAGCACAAACAACAAACAATTTGTCCGTTTATATAAGAAAAGCAAAAAAAAATTCTGAAACACCAAAAACAAAAAAAAAATTTCCAAGTTATCAATCATATCAATTTTGCCGATTAACGCCGGCTTTTTATCACATTTTTGTTTCGTTCGTTGGTTTAAGCAAAAAATAAAACTACAGGATCGTTCGTCTTCGTCTTCGTTATTCAAGAAGATCCTTATCATCATTTTTTAAAGAAAAAGAAAATGCATTTTATTTACCCTGTTTCGTTTCGTTTCGTTTTCGCCCCTTCAAATCACTTCTTCGTTATTATTGCCAAACGCATATCATATGAGTTTTTTTTTACTTTACTTTTGATTTGATATCGCAATAAATCAATAAACTGATTGGATTTATCGAGAGAAAAACAGAAAAAGTAAGCGAAAAATTTCCACACTTTCATCGTCATCATCATCTCATCCCCTCCAAAATAAATCCAAAATCGGAAAATTTTACAACCAGAAAACCCAGAAGAAGAAGAAAATTAACTTTTTTCTTTAACACTTTGCAATCATGTCAAATTTTTCTTGAGTAATTTCTGGTTTAAATCAACCAGAAGCTAATCAACACCCGGATCAGGAACAAATTTTGTTTCAATTTCTTTCCTCAATTTAGATTTGGGTCTGCTGCTTCTGGATTCAGGAATTGATTTTTGTTTTGTTTATTGAATGAAACATGAGAAACGAGGAAAATGAAAATGAAAATAAACAAATATTTCAATGAAATTCGAAACGTTTCTGGAATTGATTTTGTTTTTGACTTAGAATCAATTCAATCGGTTGATTGAGAGAGAGGGAAAAAATTCAAAATTTTCAAAATTTTTTCTGCTTAAAATCATAAAGAAAGATGGCAGTATCTCATTTTATCTCTCTCCAGGCTTTGGCTGAAATCACGAGATTTCTGAATGAAATTTTTTTTCTTCTTTCGATAAACTTTTTTACCCCTCTTCCATTTCTTCATTTCTGCTGCTGTTATTCGCTGTGTTTGATAAACACCGATACACCCAGTAAGTAAGTTAGTTTAGTTTAGTTTAGTTTTTGCAAGCATCAAACGCCTTGTGATGTTGAAATGTACGAAATTGGTGTTAAAGAAAACAATTTACTTACTTACTTAGTTTATCTTTTTGATCTTATCAAATTTTTGCTACTGCTGTTGCTGCGGTTGTTGCTACTGCTGTTGTTGCTGCGATTGTTGTTGTTGTTGGGATTGATGGTTTGTTGCACACTGATGATGAGAACAGAGATTACAGATTGCAGATCAGGGAACCAGAAAAAAAATTGTTGTTGTTGTTATGGATTTTTGGTTTAATTCCATTTCAATGGGAGAAATTTTCCCGGTAAATTTCCCTGTAAAAAATTCTCAAGTTTATTTGATGATGATGCGATGATGTTTGTGTGTGTGATTTGGATTGGTCATTGATTTTCAGTTTTTCAGTTCAAAAACAAGGAAATGAAATGAAAAAAAAAGATTCTTTCAGCCCCCAAAACAGCTGTAGTTTTTCAATCAAAAAATGGAAAATGACGACGATGATAAAATACTTTGAAAGTAATAAATATTGACAGGATGTTTCATATCATCGACCAGAAACACACACACAGAAGAAAAAGTTGCCAGAAACGCACACAGAGAAACTGTAGCGGAAGCAGAAAAACAAAAAAATTCACATTCTGTTCATATTCGTTTAACCAAGAAAAAAATGAAACAAAAAAAATGAAAACATAAAAAAACGAAACAAAACAAATTTTTTTGAGTGAAAGTAAACTCAGTAATAATAATTTTTAAAAGAGTAAAACGTAAGAATGAAAGAGAAAAAAGAACGTAGTTATCTTTGATTTGTGGAACACACACATATCATCATCAAATAAGAGAAAACAACTCAGGTAAGAAACAAACACAGGTAAGAAAAAGAATTGATGTGTTACACACACCGACAGTTGTTATTATTATTATTAATGGGGAGGCTTTCGTTTTAGTTTATTTTCTTAGTGATATCAAATTGGATTTTTTGTTTGTTTGTTTGAAAATTGGATTTCTCTTAATACTTTTTTTTTCTCTTTCGTTTATCCATGTTGTTGTTGCTGTTTTTTTTCCACTGGAAAACTTGTTCTCCTTGAAAATGGAAAATTCATTGAAGCAAAGCGCCAAAAATTAGAATTGAAGAAAAGGACAGTGAGAGTGAATGGTTAAATGAAATATTTATTTGTCGGTTAGTTAACCCATTACGATTATGAATGGAACGAAAAAAAAACCTGAATTCAAAAAAAAATTGATTTGAATTCAATCAATCAGTCAGTTTGTTTGTCTACAAAATCATTTAGCATCATCAAAGAATCCATGCAAAGAAAATGACATTTCGCAATGACGATAATGATAGTGATGTTTTGGACAAAAAACTTTTTTCAAAATGATAAAAATAGATTCGCTTCACCAGCACACACCAGGTACATTCATCAGGTGTGTGTGTTTTTGAAAAATATCATTATTATGTTAGCAAAGATAACAATGTTGAAAAAAAAGATTCAAAAAAGTACTGGTGGTGCACGGTGGTGGTGGTGGTGGTCTTCAACATTGAATCCTTCTACAACAACAACATCATCTTTTGAAAAATAATCTTCGAACAAAAGAAAAGAAAAGAAGACATCCAGTTTGACAAGTTTCGGTTTGATCTATTATGGAGTGTAGTTATCTTTTTTTGTTTCGTTATGGCTGAATAAATGATGGATGGATGGCAGGGGTTGATAATATAACAGTCCTGATCCTGTCCTGTTATTTTGTTTTACAAAGTTTTGGATTCTTCGTAAACCGATTCAGCTTTAAATTGGAAATTTTTTTGTTTTGCTACGGGAAACAAAAAACATGCCATCAATATTGAGTAAATTTTTTTCCACCGAATGGAATGTCCCATATAATTGTTATGAAATGGGACATGGTTGGACACCATATTGTTCAGCAGCTGCATTAGAAATCGGATTGATTGTATTTCAACAATCGCTTAAGCTTTACGCTCCACTTTATCTGGTTTATTTTTTTTTCATATTTTTTTGGAAATTTCATTAACCCTTTTGTTTCTCTCCATAGGGCCAAACGATTCTGCAGAAAAAATTGAATCAAAAAAATTTTCATGAATGTTTTCGCAGTATAATACGTTCATCATCATTTCTTGGTGCAAATGCCTTCCTATCCATACTGTTTCTTTGTCTTAGTTTAAATTTATCCGGAAGATTTTATTATCCATTAAATGCATATATACCAAGTTTTTTTGGTTCATTTTTGGCCATATTGATCGAACGACCATCAAGACGTAAAGCATTAGCATTTTATGTTTCGAATATTGCAACAGAAATTACATATAAAATTTTATTAACACGTAATTATATTGGTGGTATGAAGAATGGAAAATTTTTTATATTTTCTATGGCAATAACCGTATTATTATTTCTTTATGAAAATAATCAATTAAATGATCCATTAATTTGTTTTATATTACAATTGGTTATTGGTAAACGTACGTCATCAACGGTAAAACCTGAAGAACAAAGCAAAAAGCCAAATGATAATGATGCAGAGGCTATAGAGTTTGATGCGGTTGCGGAAAAAGCGATCAAGAAGAATAATTTCTGGAAACAAATACAAAACCGAACGAATCAAATTTGGTTACAATTGAAAAATCAATTTCCAATTCTAGCATACAGAAATCCATTTTGTTACCATCATTTAAGTTATTCTTGTCTAGAAAATATCCTATTACAAAATTTCCTAAAAACATTTTCGATCGGTTGGTTTTCACAATTAGGTTTACGTTTTTGTTCACGTTTAATGGCCGGACGAGTGAATGATGCAATCAACGTTTTCCAAATTGATCAACTTTTATCATCTAAATATTTATCATTTGCATTGTTTTTATCAACATTTTCATCTGTTTATAATTCTACATTATGTTTTTCCAATTGTTTTCACAAGAATAATGAAAATTTCAATCAAAAATGGTCAACAATTTTAGCATCCACGTTAGCATCCTTATCAACTATTCGTTTAGCATCCGATCAATCAATGATTTTATATCTTTTTTGGAAAAGTATTGAGGTAATGTAATCGATACTATCGATATTGATTGATTGATTGATTAATTTGGATTTTCCTTTTTTCATCATCGTAGGCATTATTCAATGTTGGCGTAAAACAAGGTTACATAACAAATGAACGTTTTTGGATTATATTCATCTATTCCCTATCATGTTCACAAATATTTTATTCCGCAATATTGGAACCAAAACAAATGAAACCTTCGTATAAACGATTTCTAGATCAAATTAGTCAAAATCGTTTACGTTATATTAATCGTAATGTTTTAGAAGTTTTTGGTACAAATGCATCAAATGGTTATGAATATTTTTTACCATCATATGATTTACGTTTTACTAGTCGTAAATTTCAAGAATCAGTACTTATTTGGCTTTTTTGATTGATTGATTATCGATTTTTTTGTTCCCCAAACAATGTCCAAAGAAGAAAGAAGAAGAAGAAAACTCAAAGATTAAATCAAAATCAAACTAAAATCTTAATTTGATAACGATAAACTATCTCGTGTGACTGTGTTGTTTGTACTATTTTTTTTTCGTTTGGTTGGCTAAAATCACACCAAAGAAAATCTCAAATTACCATTTTTTTTACAAAATCTTTATCCATTATTTTCATCCATTTTTCGTCTTGTTATCTTTGCTGCTGCTGTTTGGTTTTGCTTCTGTAAACGAGAAAATTTGAGGTATCCACATTGAAGATAAAAATCAACATTGATGATGGTGATGAGCCTATGATGATGGTGATAAAGTATCACAAAATGAAAAAAGGAAAAAAAATTAAAAAAGCGCATCAAATCTCGAATCATCCACATTCATCAATTTGATGATTTTTCTTTCTTTCTTTCTTCTTTAAGATTCGAAAATCAATCAATCAATAAAATCAATAAATCCTAATCAATAAGGTTTTACTTTTATATGTTTTTTTTGTTTTGTTGTTCTGGTTCAAGGTTAAATTCAAAAAGTTAATGGATGTTTTGACTTACTTTACTTACTTATTTGTTGTTTTTGTTGTCTTTTTTTCGTTTTCAAATTGTACTTTTAAATTTTTTACCTTTACATTTTTTTTGGGTATCTTTTCTTCATCGGTTATCTATTTCTTCTGGTATCTTTTCTTTCGACCCAAATCGAATCAAATCAATCATTTATTTTGCTCGTGATTTTCGTTTCGTTTCATTTGTTTGTTTCTCCTTTGAATCGTGTATTGAATCATCGATTTCTATCTCGATTTTTTTTTTGATTTAATCAAACCTTTTTTCTCTTGAAAAAACGTGATCATCGTTTGAAAAACATTGATCTTTAAATAACTCTTTGGTTTCTTTGCCTGATCCAAGAAAAGTTAAAAAAAAATTCAAATTCTGACGTTGAGAATTCGCACTAGAATCCAATTACAAACGAATTTCTTAAATGTTAATGTTATTCGGCCACTAAGCATCAAGAGAGAGAGAGAGAGAGAGAGAGAGAGAGAGAGAGAGAGAGCAAAGA